ACCAATGCTCTTATCATAGAATTATTGATAGTCTCGGAAAATAGAATATTATGCAATAATGATAGACATTATAATAAAATATTACGATATTATGTTGGTCTCGCAGATGAATATCGAATATCATGCACAAAGAACCAGCCAACAGAGGATATTTGTTGGTCGGAATTATGTTTACAGAATAAACACTTCGAGTGCACAATTTCCTCGACTCATCTGCCATTTGACATTTACAAGCAGAATCGCATAAAATATTGTAAGTCAAAAACCACGTAAATAAAATAATTTGGACTCGAAAGAGTCTTAAGCACAAACTCTATCCAGTCTAGGTCTATTTGTCATATTACATTTAGAAGACCTTCCTAAGTGAAAGCCATTAGAATCATGCGACCTAGACACTTCATTGTAGACATTTCCACCAGTAGTCCTATAAAGCATCTTAAACGACTAAAGCTGATGACAGTTTTCGCCATATTCCATTCGAAACAGTTAATCTATTCTGGCTCAGGTATTGCGATCGTAATCCTTTACCGCACCCGAATAGCCAAGACAGCTTGGCGACGGCCAGTGAAAAAATTCACTCGATTTCGACTTTACTCTTCACTGGAAATTCTAAAATTTACATTACCACTAAAGCATTGATCTGAGGCTGAGGGTTTTCGTTTTCGTCACGAATGCAAGAATAGATAGAAGAGCGCAGAAATAAAAACTGTTTTAATTAAATAGACTTGTTTAAATCGACTTTAGTCGGTTTATTTGCTTTTTCGCATCTATCTGTCGCTAACACTGTTGTCAAGTGGGAGATTCTCTAAAAACTATCGGCCACTTTACAGATTCTTTTTCATGCCCAATGGCAACAAGAGCTTTGCAAAACATGACCGACTGTCTCATGGCGAAGCGATGAGGTTAGATACCAGTTTAGTGCTCAAGACGGTCGGCAGCAAGTACAGTCAGCAAAAAGCGAGAGTTTGCCTAATCTCCTGCCTGCCAATGTAGGGTGGTGTATCTTTGATTGCGCTTGCAATTCTCGCTTCTATGCAGAACATGGACACTTCGCGCAGACCGCATTCAAGGTAAACATGTCGAAACAGAAATAGACCAAAGCAAATGCTTCCTAACAGAAATAAAGGAGGGCAAATGTAATATTTTTTGGCTTGCGCCCCAAAACTATTATATTTTATTCTGTCTCCCCGTGTACCAAACAGGAACTAGGCAGAATAACGTAGATATGCATATAAACATACAAACTTGCAAACTTGCATAAATACACGCACATACACACATGCATACAGACATATATATATATATATACAGGCAAACAGACAGATAGATAAACAGATAGACATACACACCTACATGCATACAGTCACAAACACAAACACACACACATATATATATTTATTTATTTATTTGCTAGTTTATAGCCTAACTCAATTGTATAGTGATAAATAAACAAGGTCGCTGTATCATTGCAAAAAGCATTTTTCTGGAGCCCTTGTTTCACACTTGGATAGCCCTAAATTGACTCCATGCCATTACTTTTGACCAAAAGTGACGGTATTACGCTGTGATCTGGGAAGGGTAATTGCAAATTGTATGTCCATAGTCAAAGTATATTGGCAAAGAGCCTGTATTTTTCACTGAAGTTCTGTATACATTGACATACGAGAATGAATCTATCAATGTCAGCGACTCGATTTGGTGCTATTATATGGTTTGGTAGATGAGGGCTGACTACCAAGACTAAAAACAAATATTTCATGGCATTTCATGCTTTGCTAGTTCACCTGGGCACATAAAATCACACATTCGACATTGAAGTTTCCTTTGCTTTCACATAACATATACGCGTTCCTATTCGATACGAACTGCTCTTTCCGCCTTACCTGGCACCGACCAGCACTGTCCCTGACTGGGTTGGGAACAGAGGCCGTGTGGCGCCAGACCAGACAATTCTGCCAGCAGAAGATACAAGACCCAAGCGCCCCTCGGTTTGTGGGCCAGCCGGCTCATTTTATAACCACAATTGGGCGGATACGAGTTGACAAATAAACTTGACATTATTGTTGCCCTGCAGGCATGGCCGTCTGTCTGTACGTATGTATGAATTTAAGTAGGAATGAATGAATTTATTAGTGAATGTATGATTGAGCGACTGTGCTTGCATGTATGTGAATGTGTATGTAGGACTAAATTTAGCCATGCACATGTGCTTGTATGTATGCATCTGAAGGGGTGAATGCAGTTGTGCATGAATTTACGTATGAATACGAGAATGAATGAATGAATGTGTGATTTTATTTACGCAAATATGTATGTGCGAATATAGGTTTTAGTCAAAGAATGAATGACCAAGTGGATTATTGTATTTATGCATATCCTTATTTATGAATACGAGTAATACCGTATCTATGACTGAATGAGTGTATGTGTAAATGTATCAGCGTTTGCATGCGCAAATGCATATAAAATGTAATTTAGCTTTGAATACTTGAATCAATGCATGTATCTATTTTAATGCTCATGTGAGTATATTGACAAATGTTGTTAGACTTGTATTACTGTGTTATTTCAAGGAAATTCTAGCAAATAAATTTTGTTTAAATGTGAACGCTGCTAAATAATCCATTTCTTCAGAAAGGAAGTATAATTTAGATGCTTACAAATAAATAAATGAGTGTTCGAAGTGATGAGTAGATCATTTGTAAAAATAATGATAGTCTTCAAATAATCTCATTGTTGATAACTACACCATCAGGGCCTTGATCTCATAACGTGATTCAAGATTTTGAGAATATCTTACGTTCATTTCATTATTTGGGTTCACAGGCAGGGAGGAGCAAAGTTTGTTCAACTATGTGCAACGGAAATATATTCTTATTTCGATTGGCTTGGAATTTATACTCTGTATGGGTTTTACCAAAACCAATGATACAACTCAAATCCAGTTTTATAAAAACCAACAAATGTCTCTTTGGAGTTTCAA